ACTACGACTACGGACTACGACTACTACTACTACTACTACTACTACTACTACTACTACTACTACTACTACTACTACTACTACTACTACTACAGGCGTCAGGAGAGGCTCAGGGCCCTTGAGCGGGGCGCAGACGTCGGGGACCCCTTTGGGGAGGGCCGGGGCATCCCTAATTCGCACCTCATCAGTGCAAAAAAGGAGCTGCGCGCGCCAGCGCTTAATGTCCGAGGTCTGGCATGCACGGTCGGCTCTACTTCGGAGTCCTCGCATCGCCTGCTCAGTCCTGGCAACCGCATTGCACTGCTTGCACCTACACTCTCTTCTCCGAGGGAAGTGATACAACTCATGCTGCACAATCGTGACTTGACAGCGGGGGCCACGCCTCTCTACCTCCTGCTGCTCAGGCGGCTCGAGATTCGCGGCAATCGTTGAAACAATCTTCGTGGCCCGCGCCAGGAAATTCCAAGTGGTCCTGGCAGCCTTCAAATGGACCGCCTCCGCATCGACTGCCAACTGCGCCACTTACGGGGAGGAGGACGAGGAGGTTTGTGCCAACGTCCGATCAGGCGCTGTGGGGCTCTGCTGTCCTTCGGGCGTCATGCCGATGGGAGGCATACCGTTTAGAAACTGGCATTGTTCCCCGGGCGCCCGAAACCGAGGCCGCCCGTGAGGGAGCCGCTGCCGGACGGGCACGCAGGGTCCGCGGGGCCGAACTGGCCGCCGTAAGCGTTCTGGCCGAAGGCATTCTGCCCGATGCTTTGGAAGAACGAGATGCTACCAGAGTTCTGGCTGCAGAAGCGCTCCCCGGGCAGTAGGTACCTCCATGGTCAGACCCGGCGCCGCCTGCCGAGTCCACCCCAGTACCCCTCCCCAATGTGCTGGCCGGTGAAGAAGGACTGGAAACCGCCAAAGTTTTGGCCGAGGAAGAACGGCCACTGCGCCGTGTTCCCGCCACCGACTGCGCACTGCGGCCGCCGCCCTTGAACTTCCACTCGCGTGGGGAAGCCGTAGGCGACGACGTAACCAGTCGGAAGCACTCGGCAATCGATGCCCCATGCTCGCGTCGTGCAGCAATGTGTGTAAGGTCTGAACTCGGTTCCAAGGGCTCGTAATGGCCATGGCGATAGAGCAACCATATTTGGCCCTTCCCCCTGCCGATCTGGACGGTCGGGGAACCAGGCCGCACGACGATAATGGAGAGCCCGAACTTGTCTGCTGCAGCCAGCAGGTCCAGCTCCCCTGTCCAAGCGTCCTCCTTGTGCATCAGCTTGAGGTACTGAGCCCAGGAAGTGCAAGGCTGGCCGTTAGGGCACAGGCGATCCCATATGGCCTCAAAGGTAGTGTTTTTCTTTGTCATGTAATCGATGGTCTGGGTGCGCAGCGCCTTCGGAGATGTGGCAGCCTTCTTACCACGAATGAACCACCACGACAGGCTGTGCCAGGCACAAACCCCATCCTTCGGCACTGGAGCCGAGCGTGGGGTCTGCAGGGGCAGCAGGGCGCCGGGCATGGGCGCGGGGCTGCTGGTGCTGCTGTGCCGAGGCCTTGGGCTTGGCCTGGCGGGCGGCTGCTGCGGGGGGGGTGGCGGCGGCAGCAGCCTTATCGAAGCGGCCGTCGACAGCGGCCTGGACGACCGACTGGAGCTTGCCGACGAGCGGTTTGGTGTCACCGGTTGCCTCCGCGCGCTGGATGATGCGCTTGATGGCTCCGATGAGGCCTTCGGAGTGGAATGCCTGGCGTTTGGCCTCACGGCGCTTGGCCTTGGCACTCTGCTTCTTGGCGGCGGTGTTGGGCGGGGATGCCCGGGCAGGAGGGCGCTCTGCCGGCTGCGAGGCGAACTTGGAGAGCAGCTCCTGGAGGCCCGCGAGCAACGCTTTCTCCTGGGCCTTGTGCTTCCGTGTCTGCTGGGTGTCCCCGCCGCCGCCTCGCAGCAGGGACCCAAAGCCTCCCGCAGCTGGAGTGCGGGACGGCTCGGTAGCCTTCGCGGTGGTGCTCACCATTCGCCAGCGCCATGGGCGGCAGCAGGCACGAAGACAGAGACGAAGAATAGCTTCGACAATATGTTGAACATCTTCCGATCGACAACGATGAACATGTAAGACGTGAAACCCTCGCCCACGAGGTACATGGCACCTAGAAGTACCAGCTCGGCGTGAAGCCAAAATAATGGTCCCATTACTCATCAATCTGGTACATAGCAAGGAAGAATCTAAAGGACTGTGAAACTCAGCACCTTGATGTTGTAAGCGTACGCGTGCCCACCAGAATATGAGCCCCAGACTGATGAGAATCGCACCCCATAACATGATAATCATGCTCGTAATCGAACTCCCCGTCGAAATCAAGCACATAGTGGAACATCGCAAAATTGGTGACTGTAAGCTGGCAAGCGCGTGAAAGACAACCGTCGTCCCTGGCTTCATGCCGTTGGCACCGTGGAGCAACGAGAAGAAGCACAGGAAGAATAACCAGCTGAGGCTCCAACTGGCCGAACGTGTCGTGGCACTGTTTCGTCGCCGAGAAGGCGTCCCGGCCGTGCGTGTCCCTGAGGGCGCGGACGTAAGTGCCATCGGCGACTTGAGGCGGCGCGAGCGAACGAGGAGGAAAAGGATGAGGAGGAGGAAGAGGGGGGGAGGAGGAGGATCAGTAGGCGTAGTAGTCGTAGTAATAGTAGTAGTAGTAGTAGTAGTAGTAGTAGTAGTAGTAGTAGTAGTAGTAGTAGTAGTGGTAGTGGTAGTAGTAGTGGTAGTAGT